GGAGGGGCATAAAATAGGATATAGACACTTTTACTTATTCATTTTCAACAGTCTAATAAGGAGTTACCTCCACTTCCAGCTGCAAGTACTTAAGACATTTCCAGAAAAAAAAAAGAAACAAACTAAACCCTTAATTCCTCAGCTCTGATCTTCCCAACTTTAACTCTTTCAAGCCATTCTCTGATCACAGTTTATTTCTATTCTGGGCAGAAAGCTTCTTTTATTGTGTATTTGTCCACTTTCAAACCCAATCAAGTCCTGGGTGCTCTCTGTATGTTTTTTTTTTAGCTACTGTGGTCATAAGGTACAACAGAAATGCCTTGGCACGGGGTTGTCAACACTCTCACCTGCTGGAGTAACACTGCTGATGTCTAAGAACATCCAGGTTCACTGTTGAGCCTGGATTTGTTTTTGTTTCGTTGGTGGTTTTATCTCAGCAGCATGGAGATGTGCACCAGGCAGAACTGGCTCAACTTGGGTGGGTGACTTATTGATACCATCCCTGTTGAATTTACCAGTTCATTTGTTAATGAGTAAGCTGCTAAGTGAAACACCAGAGACCCACAGTGTCTGGAGAGAGAAGACCCCATCAATTCATGAGGAGATATAAATATAACCCTGAAGAGCAGCTTTGTTGTGTGCCAGAGGAGACCAAACTGGGAAAACACAAGACTTGACTCTCTGTCTCTGCAAGGCAGGACACAGACTTTGCTAGCACTGGTCTGAGGACAAGCCTCAGTTAATCATCAACCACCCCTCTGCACGCTGCCCAAGTGTCAGCCCCTTTGAACACCTAGTCCTTTGTGAGGGAAAGGAGGACAGGGGGTACACATCTGATAAATGAGAGGCTGGACTGGGATCCTCAGTCAGTAACTGGTGTGTTCAAAGCCCCACACGCTGTCTGATTTTGACCCTTCTCCGAGTAAACAAGCAGGAGTAACAAGGCAGCTGCACGGTGGCATCCTTATTACTGAAGTTGTGGGGAAAGAGGAGTGAATCCATCAAAACCTGATGCCAGCTTTACAAGCATGTGGCACAGCAGGCTCTCACCCTTTTCTCACTGTGAGGGAACCAAATAAGCTCCCCAGCCTTTGTGCTCACCACTGATTACAGGGAGACAGTCAACAGGATGCCAGCAAACAGAGCTTGTCTAACACAAGAGAGGAAAGCAAATGCCAGACAGCCACATTTTTTGCTCCCACTGGGAGTTCCTTGTAGTTTGGTGGATGCTGTGCCTTACATTTACTCGCTAACAATGTAATATCACCTCTGCAGTTTAGATTTTTTACCCTCAAAGAGAAGAGAAGCAACAAACACTGGGTTTTAACTCTTAAAGGAGCATCCACCCAATAACACAGCGATCATATAAGGCCCAGTTAAAGATTTTACCACCAGTGGTGGCCATGAGGTGATAGCCAGGGGAATGCACCTGACCAGATCAAGTGTGGAACTCCACTTTTCTCTCAATATTCTTCTGCAGTTTCCTTATCAGAAAAAAAAATAAGCAGTATTTTTGCGTGTTAAATGGTTTTCTCAATGAGTTTTCCCTGGATAATCAACTTACTAAATCCGTAAGAGCAAGCTCTAAACAACATCAAACCAAGCTAGCAGATACATAATCTGATCTGCTAACTCTGACTAACATTCCACCCCTGGAAGCCACAGATGTCCAAGGGGAGACAGCAGCAGGATTGCTGCCTACGCCTGTCCCTGTATATTTTCTTCCAGGCCTCCCTTCACTTCTATGATGGCCTCAAAACTGTGGAATCACAGTGCAGCACGAGAATACAAACCCTTTCAACCAGAAGAATGACTCAGTAAATTAGATTACAGCTAGAGCAACAAATTGCTGCTCGTGGGGTGTTTTTTTCCCCCTTCTAATTCTCCAAGTCTGGCCCACCTTCCTTTTCTCTGGCTCCTACCTCTGAGAGCAAGAAGTTATGAAGCCTTAATAACCCTGCTGCTAGCATGAAGGAGAAATTGCTTGGTTCTTTCTCCCGAAGAGGCTTTTATGAAACAGTCAGGTTCCACCAGCTCGGCAAACAGAATACAAAACACTGCCTGTAGCAGAGAACATCAAGGTAGGACAAACTTGAAGCACGGAATGAAAGGGCAAGTAATTTTTTTTGGTAGCAACTGATGTTAAATTTCACAGAGGGAGGGCTCAAGTTTTTGTGCCAAACAAGACGACCTGGTTGCTTTTGTTACTCGTCCTCTCCACGAGAAGATGTCTCGTTCTGGTCTTACAGCAATTAACTCTAACAAACAGCAGCAGCAGGGGGAAAAAAAGGAAAGGGAAAAAATTCACAGAAGACAACTGAACTTCCAAGCATTTATGAAACAGACTGAGGGCCAAAAGAGGCAACACCTAAAAAGGTGACATATGTATCTTTGTGAGGCAAAAGCTCTGGCTGTACCAACACCCTGACACTGCAGCTCAGGCTGGAGCACTTGGGTGTATCAAAACAAGTTCATTAATTGTTGTAAAGGCACTGTGTCATTTTATTATACAAGAAACACCAGACACACAGTTGAAATGTCTAAAACTCTGTATTTTTAAAAAATTGCTTATTGAATATAAGCTCTCATTCCCAGTACTTCCAGCAAGCTGCTGTGCTAAACAGATCTCATCCACTGCGCAATCACACGTACTTAATTAAAATGAAAGAAAGCTCTCTAATACCTGTTATTTCAAGGACCTCATGTGCAGGTTTTTACTTTCAGGATTGCTGAAAGTAATGGAGAAACCTATCTGACTACAAGAGAGGTTCAAACAAGCTTCCAAGCCACACATGAAATATTCAAAGCCAGCAAGGACATCATAAGGTTTAATTACAGAAAGCAAATGCAGTTGATGAGTATGAGCCTTCCTGGGCCATAGAATCACTGGACTTCAATGCTGAAGCTCGGTTTGGTTTAAAATTAATACTTATTTATACTTCTTAAAGCGCACTTTAAAACTAAGTCCAAAGGTAACCTAATCCCTTTTGGCATTCTGAAGCTTAAATAACTGGAGACTCCTTGTCTTTTAGGGTACACACACACACACATATGCATCCACATGCACCAAACCACCACTGCAGCTCTAGAACAATACAAATGCTTTTTCGACCTCCAGGACAAGCCTGGATATTATTGTTCTGCCATAGCCAAATACTTCATTACCCACTTGATTTCTGAACAGCATGTGTTCTGCTTGGCCCCACGTGAATGCCAAAAACCACTTGTGTTGCTGTTTCTCAGTTGCCATGCTATTGTCAACTATTCCACCCTTTGGGAAATACAACATCCACCCACAGTTTCTCAAATTTGCATGAGCAAGCTCTGCCCAGCACCAGCTGTATTTTCCAGGAAAATGGTAACATTTTTCAACTGCTCTGATCCCTGTTATTTTAACAGTAACAAACAGATTCAGGTTAGGGCATTAAGAGTGCCACTCGGGTTACCTGCAACGGCAAAGGGGAAAGCCGAGACACAGCAATAACTCCGCTATGTCCATGGAAAATATGGAGCTGAGAAAGGAGATGAGACAATACAAGTTGCTTGCCCTGGAGCTAAACTTATTTTATGGGTGAAAAAGGAAATTCTAGGAAAAGGCTGAAACATTCCCAATTGCCCACTGTGAGATTCACTTGGGTAATCCAGAGCCCCTGGTGACACTGGCCCTGCAGATGACAGCATTTAAGCAGACTGGCTACTTGTAGTCATTGCTACACAGTTTATCACTGAACCTCCTCCTCGTTTCTCCAGGAGAATTTAATAGATTAGAGACCATAGCAATGGGTTACCACAGCAGATACGGAGCAAGACATCCAAACCACAGGGAACTGTCTAGAGGAACAGTTACTTTCCACTTGGCTTGAAAAATTGTGTTTTCTGGATGAAAAAAAAGAGTACTTCTAAATGTGGGTGGCTGATTCCAATATTTCTTATTAGTCTGCAGGCTTTGCACTCAGCAGTTTCATGGGGTGCCAGTGTCGTGTGACACTCGTCCATGGCAACACAGTTCAATATTCAGTCATGGAGGAGTCTCCCATTTAGCAAGAGCAAGAACTTTGTGGAACTCTTGGCTGATCCCTTTGTTGGCCTGGTTTTGTCTTGACAGTTACTGAGGTTAGCATGAACCAAGCGAGAGCTAGGGAAGCCCAAAAGCTGTGTTATGGCTTTGTTAAGCTGCATTTCGGGACTGTGTCTGGAATCCTAAGAGCTGCCCAGGCAGCCCTGCTGTACTGAGCTGTGTTTCTACCTGCGACTTCACAAAGTTCCTCTTCACAAGCTGGCCATTTACATGTCATGACCTGTGACTAATCCCTCACAAACTGTGTGGGTTCTAAGTGTGGAAATAACGCTACTGACATCTATGTCAGAACTTGCCAGACACCGTTTTCCCAGTGCAACAACCCCTGCCCCACATGCTGCAGTTACCCCCACTGGTCCCCAAGCTGCCCCATCAAGGTGTCTCTTTTGGGTCTTGGCTATCCTAAGTTACTGGATCAGATAACAAAGACTCCAGTGGCACTACCAGCTCCCTGACCTTCCTTCCCACATCAGCAAGTCATTCCTGTCTCTGTACCAGGCACGATACACCACGGTACAAAAAAAGTGTGTGTGTGTGTGTGTTTTCCTTTGTTCTTAACAGTAAAATTGGCTCCTGATGAGGTTCACAGCCTGACATTTCCACAGAAAGATGGTGGTGGGCTGACATTTTAAAGCATTATAAGCTAGTACTGCTGTGAAACACATAAGACCCAGAAATTACATGCTGAAGTAATTTTTGTTGAGTAATTTCGATACTCCTAATTATCATACTAATTACAGGATAAATATGTGAAGCCAAGGCATATACCTATATATATATATGTACACACACAGTTGATTGAGGGCCATACAATAGTGGAGTAAAAGTTTGAACTGATGGACTGAGAGAGGGAGAGACCCCATTAGCACCACATTTGCAAATGCTACTCAACTGACTTCTAGTTTAGGAGTGAGCAACTTACAAAGGAGTTCTGGGCTGGATGGATAAACAGAGGTCTAATTAGACTGATGTGCTGGGGAACTCTTCCTTCTGTGAAGCAATAAAGCAAGGTGGTCAGTATAAAATCTTGTGTTATCTGCCAGATCTCCCTATTGCAAAAACACCCCTGCCATAGTCCACAGAAGTACAGTATCCAGGCAAACACTTCAGGACAGGATGTGGTTATGCCACTGTGAAATCCTTCACGGGAAACATTTTGCTGTACAACCCTGCATAGAAAGAGATCAGTCGTGGCTGGTGGTGGATGGAACCTCTGGATGGAGCACTGGAAGCTCTGGGTGAAGCATGCCATTTCCCACTGCACCACGCCAGGACAGCTTTTAGCATTCATAAAGCATCCTGAATGATTAATAAATCATCACAAAGGAGCAGCTGAGCAGAGCTGCCACTTTTATATCTCCCCAGAATAAATGCTAGCTGATTTTAATTGTGCTTCATATCTTCCTCAGACAAGCAATATAAACTTGGGAAGATTTCGCTTCAGAACGAGTAACAGAAAAGCTCCAGCAGCAGGGGACTGCTACCACAGGAGCAGAGCATGAGCATGACAAAATAGGAGGACAGTGATCGTCCTGCACATCCAATCCTAAGGTTAATAAGCATCTGGCCTACGTAGCCAGGTTCTACCCTACTGCAGCTGAAGTGTTTAGCCCTGTTAGCATCATCTGTATTTCACAGAGTTGCAGAGCCAAAGTCATTCTGTGTCCCAAACAGCTCATGGGAAATGCTGCCAGAGATACTCTGCACAGCCAGACTGGAGGGCTATGAGGCACCTTGGAAACTGTGAGGTAATGCTTCCTGCACAAGAGCCCCAAAACAGTGGTTTGTTTACAGAAAAGAGACTTTATATGAGAAAGCGAAGAAATCTAACCAGGCAGCTCGTGGGACATTATAGTGGCATCTTTTGAGGCTTCAAGAAGAATATAAAGGTCTTGGGTTCAGAATGGAAAAAATGAACAACAAAAGGCTGTGTCCTGGACTTATGAGGAGTGAGAGTATGTTTCTTATTACAGAGAGAGGAACAGAGCAAGGGTGACAGCCACTAGGAATCATGGTGAAGAGCCCTGGAAGTACAAAAGGGCAGCTGATGTTTCATGTTCAAGAAGCCAGGAGAGGAAGAAGCAAAAAGGACAACGAAACCATCAAAGGAACGGCCTAAAAGCTGAAATCGTTTCAAATTGGTGAAATAAGGCTGCACTTATCAAGGCCAGTTTGTTACAGTAACAGGAACACAACACAGTAAGAATGAGGGGAAACAACTAGATGTGTGCACAGATAAGAAGCTTCTTCCAACAGATGTTAAGCATCTGACATGCAATCCCCTCATGTAGCAGTATTCAGTCTGTGACCCAAAGACATCTGAGTAACTAATAAAATTGTCAGTCAGAGAAGTGTTATGGTGGTGCTCACAGCACTGAAAGTGAATCAGGGGCAAGAGGGAAGTAGCAGAAAAAATTGGGGGAGACCAAGGAGGACAAAGAAGGTATTGGAGAGAAGGAGTGCATGAAAGGTGAAATAGTTCTTGGCTGTGTGTGTGTGAATTTAAGAGAAAACTGAAGATGGAGATGGAGATTGAACACAACCAAGTGCACCAACAGTAGGTGGAGCTGTGAGATAAGAGAAAAAACCCACAACCTTTAGGGGGACTAATTAAAAAGGCAATTCTGAAAATGAAGGCATAAAACCCTACGTTCATGGGAAGGCATGATAGACACTCACCAGGAGCTGAGTTTGGCGTGAGCATGACAGCCATACCAGGGCAGCAGAAGGAGCTGAAACAACCTGTCACTCTTCTTCCTGCCCTTCGATGAGCAAACACTGCCCATGCCTAACACAGGTTAAATCCCTGCCAGCTTGCTGACAGCCAAGTGCCAAGATCAGCCAAGCACGAGGCAAACACAAACTCGACCTGATTTAAGAACCAGACTGGGGGGTCACTCACACTCTCCATGCTTTGCACTCCACATTACATGCTAACGCCATCCGAATGTATCTCACAAAAGCACAGACAAAAATTTTGTACTATTTTCTGAGTTCTCTTAAAAATAAAGGAATTCACTGTCAGAAGCCTGTTGATCTTTGAAAGGAATAGGTAATACTTTGAGATAAGGGCTAAGGAACATGATATATAAAAAGATCTGCAGAGACAAGTGTTATCACTCTATTACCATTAGGAAGTCTATAAAAGTACTTCAACACAGACTCTACTTTGTATCCACATTCAAAACAAAGCTGGACAACTATAATAACTCCAGATGGAACTATAAATTTTACTTGAAACTTTACTGTAAACAGGAAAAAAAACAAACCCTGGTCCTGCATAAAACAGGTTCCTGCATTAGGCAACATTTAGTGAGCCTGTCAAGTGTCAGACAGCTTCATTTGTTAGGGACCTAACAACTGTTTTAGGACAGACTTTGACATCTCATTCTTCTGTGAACATCCTCTGAGAGAAGCAAGGTCATGCTTATATGAAACTAAGGCACAGAAATGAAATAGCTTCCAGCCTTGTTCACTGGAGATCCCAGTAAGGCTCCTGTGAGAACAAACAACCAAAGGCAAATTTTATATCAACTTTAATTCCTATTTGCCTTTCCCCAACTTCAAAAGCAATCTCTGGTCACCCTTTTTCAAGGAAAGAACTGGACCCTCCAACGCAATGCCACAAATCTTTTTGGAGGAGAGAGCCCCACACAAACGATCAATCGACATTATCAGAGCCATTTTTTGGAGACCTGGAGAAGAGCCTGAGTCCAACAGCTCAATGGCTGCTCTCTGCAGTCAGCCTGGTGAAAGATAGCACCTGCTCTTACAGATCTTGCTTTTTAACTTAAAAACCAGAAAAAACCAAGGCACCCAATTGGCAATATTTACTAACAGTTCCCAAGAGGTGGCACTGAGGCCTAGTAATGTCTCTTGGTGCAAATTGCAGGCCGGGGCCTGTTTAAACCAGCTGTCAAATGGGAATTCTGTGCAGAGCTACAGGAGAACACATTAAAGTATATGATTAATTTTATCAACAATAACAGACAGGGTAAGTTTCAGTCTGCAGTTATATAAAGGAGTCTACAATCACACAGCTTGCCTGCTGTACATCAAACAATCCATTCCTCTTATTTTTTTGGGAAGCTGAGCTTTGAATCACGTTGTGTAATTTATAAATCACCATACTGAAACCTGCTGATTATGCCATGCACGCCAGTACTCAGCTAAGTAATTTCCAGGCACAGTGGAAACCAAAGAACTGTTCTTGGACCCTTCAGACTATCGACATACATGCTAATTACTTGCTACATAATAGTAATGTGTAGCTAGATGTAAATTACAATATGGTAGGGTTGGTTAAGCCCTTTGTTATTTAACACACTTTCACGAGTTATTTTTTTCAAATCAGCATCCCATCAAAGACACAAATGGCACTTGCTCAACACAGGAAAGAAAACTACCACGGCCAGACCCTGTTCCTCACTGCGGCACTTGAGTAACAGAGCCAAGAAAAATGATCCACGATGAGCAGATGCGCAGCTGCCACTGCGAAGTCCCGCTTCCCACCACGGAGCCTCTGCACCTCCACACTCGGTGAACCTCGATCCTGAAGACTTGTCAGTAAGGAGACCACAACAAAAGGGTTGGGCACGCAGCTAACAACCTATTCAGATGTGAATGGCACTAAGGGGGTGACCAGGAAAAGGAACCCGAAAGGGAGGGAACAGCAAACGCTTTCTATTTGTTTCTGCAAGCTCAAACATTCAATTTGCTGGAAGAGGACACAATAAAAAATAATGGAGCAATATTTAGGTCTAACAACTGCCAAAGCCAACAACACAAAATCTCTCTGGTCCCCAGTGGAACTAGTCAGCTGTACAGTATGCTGAAAGTTGAAGTATTTTATTCTTACTGAAGGGAAAAAAAAAATGTGTCTGGAAGCACTGCAGTAAAATTCCAGGCAGAGCAGTAACTTCTGCCATAATACAAGGACTGCTAGACCATTTGGAAATTTAATAAGGAGGCCAGCATTCAGAACAACACTGCTGGATGAGGATTCAGGAAAGAGAGAGAGGGAACATCAGTGCTGTTTGTCTTTTCTTGAAGAAGAGTTGTTCCTGATCGATTTTATGACCACAAAATACTCCTGGTCAAATCACATGGATTGAATCTTCCTAATTTTGGCACCAAGTAGAAGACATGTTCTTAGAAACATCCCTAAAAACCCTGTAGCAAACAAGAAGGGAAAGTGGGGAGTTTGTCCATCCAAGTGTGAAATCCCAGTGTGCACTGGGCCCTTCAAAGAATATACATGAATCATACAAGGAACACAGGAATTACACAAGGAACACAGGAATTACACAAGGAACACTGCTACTTATTTTAGGGAGACTGCTTCACCACTTGCTGACCATCACAATTTCCCAGTAGCAAAGACATTTTGCAATGTCTTTATTTTATTTCAGCAGGGGGGGAAAAAACCCAACCAAACCCTACCCATTTCCTTCTTTTTTTCTTATTTTGTATACAAGTTCACTGATGAGGGTTAAAATTTGGACAAACAGATACATGGCCACAGCTGAAGGGATAGCAAATTACAGTTGAATACGGAGAAACAGCATTTTTTAACTGGGACTGCTAAGAAAGTTTATACCCAGGGCAGGACAACATGGACCTGGATCCTCACATTTCTATTTCATTCAGGCTAGCACACTCATCTTTTTCTTCAGCACTACCTGATGTGTGCTTTAATTGCATCATGCTAACCAGCAGTTGACATTTTTACAAAATGCTGGAACTAGGGATTAATATTTTAAGGGATGTGAAGGCTGGGATTTCAAGCTGCTTTCCAATGGTAAGGAACACAGACTTCAGCAGAGGGTCATAAGAGGAGCAGTAAAAATCATCTCTGAATTCATGTATTCATTATGTATCTCATGAGATCCTAATTCTGTATTTCTTAAAACAATCAGTGAAGAGTAATGAGTTAACTCCATCTAGAGTGATGCATGGAAAATAGAGAACTCTCTTTTGCTGGAGTTTGG